GTTGCATACTTTCCATAGGTATTCAACTTCCATCGGGGTCATGGGGGATAAACAATACAATTTATAAGTATGTTTTAAATGCTTAAAAGGGAAATGTTGGGCTGTTCAGCAAATGAATTTTCCCTTGTCTGTTCAATAAAGCTTCAGAGTTGCATTATGCGGGTATCTATTTGACTGTGTATCCTCAGGTTCCTGTTAAGAGAAATGTGTCAAGGTTTCCGTCGGATTTGTCATTGAGACCAGAGTGAATGACTGGAATTCCAGGAGAATATTTGTGTAAAATCTGGCACCAAGAATTTAGGCCCCTCCCTGAGCAGCAAGGGAGATCCCAGCATCAAAAATGGTATCTGCACCCAGGCATAACCCTCTTTCCATATCAGAAAATGCATGTGCTGCAAACTAGCAGTGCATCTGAATGCAAGACACCCTCATGTGACTTGGATGGGAATTTGCATTTGACTGGCTGCCTCATCTGATGTGGCACTTAGGCCCCGTTCTACACTGCCATATGAAATCTAGATTATCTGCTTTGATTATCTAGCTCATGGATCCTCAAACTAAGGCCCATGGGCCGGATACGGCCCTCCAAGGTCATTTACTCGGCCCTCGCTCAGGGTTAACCTGTCTAAAATTACTTGAAAGCACACAACAGCAACAATAACCCTATCTCATCAGCCAAAAGGAGGCCCACATTTTCCATTGGGCCTGCTTTTGGCTGACGAAATAGGATTGTTGTTGTTGTTGTGTGCTTTCAAGTCATTTTAGACTGAATCTATATAAATAAAAATGTAATGTTCGTTTGTGCTATTCACAGAACTCAAAAACCCCTGGAGTAATTGACACCAAATTTGTACACAAGACACCTAACAACCCAATGTATGTTCTCCACTCAAAAAATCCATAAAAACAAAAAGCAGAAAGGACTTCTGAACTACATGTTCACAAAGGAGAAACTGCATTGCCCACAAAGAGACCCATGGCCACGCCCCCTCCTCCTTGCGAGGAAACAGCCGGCCGGCCGTTAAAGCATGAGGAGCCAGGCGCGCGTGCATGGCCACACTCACACACACACACACAAAAGTGAGAATGGGCACCATGGGAGTGGAGGTGGAGGCTTGTGCGAGGAAGGCCGGCGGGTGGGGAAGGGACTTTAGGAGCCTACCCACTGTCCTCCTCCAATTCCTCTCCTTCCTCATCTGAAACCGCACCACCACCACTTTAGGAGTGAGGAAGAAGAGGAGGAAGATGGTGGATGGGCTCCTAAGTCCCTCCTTTGCCAGAAGAAGCAGCAGCCTTTTCCTCTTTGCTGCCCCCCCTCCCTTTAGTCGCCTCCTCTTCCTCCAAAATGCCCCGAAGCAGCAGGCAGGAGGGAGGGAGGAGGGGAGAGAGACTGTTGCCTTCTTCGCCAACTCTTCCTTGCCTCCCTCCCTTCACTGCAGGAAGGAGGAAAGAAAGAAAGAGGCAGAAACAAGTTTTA